GCCTTTCTAGGACCTAGGTCTCCACTCTTGCCGCTTGGATAAAACTTAAAAGCGGAGGTCCTTACACACCCTAGTACCTGTGTCCATCTGAAAGGCTCCATTTGCAATGTGGAACCTGGTGGTTTCATACTTGACCCTCACTTCACATTCCCCCTTTTCTGCCTTTTTTCTTGCCTTTGTCTGCTCTTTAGTGTTATTTAAGACTATCTTCTGAATGCAAGGTGTTCTTTTCGAGTTCTTTATTTACTTGCTTTAGGAACAGGGATTATGTATGCATTAGCTGGTGCCACAGGAATGCTGTGTGACAAACTGCATAACCTCAGTGGCAGATGGGAACTGCTCTCTCAGGAACACTGGGAGTAGTTTACTCATCTTACTGGTCTCAGCTGTGGAAAATGGGGAAAAGTTGTCCCGTACCCTGTGTGCCTCATCCTTTAGCAGGCCAGCCCCGGCATGCACCTCTCATGGTGATGGCCAAGGTCCAAGAGAGCAAATGGAGACATGCTGAGTTGCTCCAGGCCAGATACACCCTTCTCTCCAGCTCATTTTATTGGTCAAGTCCTATTCAAAGGGATGGGAGACAGGCTTCTTCTCTTCGGGGAGAGAAACTACAAAATTACTGGGTGTTGGATCATTAATGTGACCTGTCCAACAGAGCTGTGGGACCTGCCCCTTGTTTATACATAGGCTGATGCTTTGCAAGTAGGGAGTGCCTGATACACGCAGGGTGTGTAGAAGTAAGTGAAGCTGCCACTAGCTTGATTTTTGGGCTAAGATTGGGCTGACCGCCCGACGTGCAGTGTTAGCAGGTGTTATCCGTTACAAGGGAAGTTTGCGTCATGCAGGCCGACACTAGATTCGTTCTGTATTGGTGCAGGGGCAGGTTGATTGACATTAAGGAACCATTCTCCTTGTCATCTTTTCCACTACTGGTTCCACTCTGAACTCTTTAGGATGTTAGCTGTGGCCAAAAGAAGAGGTGCATGTCAAGAGGGACCGCTGGCCCACTCAGCAGGTTCTCTAGGGGATCTTCGTCGTATGTGTTGATAGGAATATACTTTAGAGGAGAAAGCAGTCTTTGGCAAGTGCCCTTAACTCCTTGTTCTGGCTCTCACTCTTTTCGGTAGGGCAGGGGAAGGGGCCACAGGCCAGGAGGAGTACCTGTGGCATCTGGGGGCTCAATAGGTACACAAATCCTGGGGTACCCTACAGGGATTCTGTGGGCCAACCACCTCTGGGCAAATCTGATATGGATAATGGCCCAAGAGACCATCAGTGCTGCTCTCCTTCCGTTGATACCTGTACCTTGCTGAGGGAGATTTACTGGAACCTTCCATAGCCAGAAACTCACATTCCTTCCAGGCTCAAATCAGCGAGTGTCCCTTTCTAACTGTTGACCTGAAAGTTCCATGACCTTGCTTTTCCATTCCTAAAGATCGGCCACTCAGAAAGGCGGGGCTCCGTGTGAACCTGCTTTGGGTCATTCCTCGAGAGTTCTCATGGTTAGAATAAGCTCTTCTCCCACACAGACCAGGCTCACACTAGTGCACGGGACAACGCCACCTAAGGTTGAGACACCTAGTCTTCTTCCCTCTCTCCCTCAGGGGATTCACAAGACTAGTTAGGTCTGCGGGGGCCTTCTCCAGTACAAGGAAATCTGTGAGGTAACATGCAAAGACATTGCCCACACAAAAGGTTGATGATAAGGTCCAGGGCCATGCCCCTCAAGGAGTATTTCACAGGGTGAATGATGCCTTCTTCCTGAGATCAGGAAAACCAACAGCTGATAGCCCTCAACTCCACACCCATCCCTTCTCAGCCCTTCCTGGAGGCCTGTGACTGCACAGCCAACTCCTTTGTGCCAGTCAGATGCACACCTGTGCACAGGGGCTCCTGTGGGACAGAGAGGCCGAGATGACTCCCGGCTAGCCGGCCCTGGCCCTGACACCAGGCATCGAAACTGTGGCCCCCATTTCTCCTTGGCTGAGACTTGCACAGGCCGCTTCTGTTTGATTCTCGCAGAACCGTGAGAACCAGGCCCGTATGTGAGGCCGTGGCGTTCATTCTATTCAGTCTTTGTGTATTCACATTCTCCTGCTTTCAGCTCTTGCTGTTCTGCCAGATTTCCATCGCCTTGATGGCTTCTCTGAATTAATAAGTGTTTTGCAACCACTGAAAAGCCCCCCTCACCCCCAGCACTGGGACTTATCCATATTGATCCCGCCCCCCCCCCCGACACACACACACACACACACACACACACACACACACGCACGCACACACTTCCTCTCCAGCTACTTCTTAGATGTTGGATTTTGTAAAGTGTTAATAGAATTTTTCTTGCACCCTGACACTTTATCTATTCAGGAGGTCTTCGAAAGTTCCATTGTACAGCTGGACTGCAGGGGAAAGAGCCCTATTCTCTACAACAATGCTTGCCCCCCGCCCAAACACACACACAGGTCCTCCCCCACGCTCACCAGGGTGGAGGGAATGTGGAGGCTACAGAAGAAAGCAGGCAAACTTAACTAGAAGAAGCGGAGCCAATTACACACTGCTGAAAGACGGTTTTGAGGGGAAAAAAAAATTTTTTTAATTCAAAATATTTATTTCCTAGGGGGATCTGAATTTCAGTACCAAAACATGGCCAACACAGAAGGGAGGCTGTTTCCTTCACTGTTGGGCATTTTCAGTTCAAAATCAGGATTTGGCAAACATCTCAGAAACTGTGGAGATGGGTGCGAAGGAGCAGATGCCGCCTTTACCTGCGCTCTCCGCAGGCCTTACCCCCAACCCGCACCCACACCCCAGGCATCTGAATTCCTCTGGCGTCCCTAGGTCTGAGTCTGAGATGCCATATGCTGGAGTGTGACTGTTCTGTGTACAAACACACCGGTTGATCTTATGGTGGTTTGCTTGGGTGGTGCATGGGCAGCGGATGGCCTCGGCAGGTGTCTGGGGGACTCTTGAAGCCTGCCAAGGCATGGGGTCCAGGCACAGCCCGGGGAAGGAGGCCCTGTTCAAGTAAGTGATCTCAAACTAGCTACCCTGCCAGCTGGTGCCTGGGAGAAAGGGGGGCTCCCTGCTGGAGGAGTCACCAGGCAAGGCTACCCTCCCCACAGCAAATGACTGCAGGAGTGGGGCGGGGGGGAGGGCGGGGGGACCAGAAGGGGAAGGCCCCAGGAGCCTGTTTGTTCAGCCTGGGTTGCTTAGCAACAAAGGGGGCCCTGCCTCTAGAAGGGATTTTTAAGTGAGGCAGAGCTCTTCCAGACTGTCTTGCCTACCTCGCCCATTCTTGCCTGGACTTCATTTTTTTCTCACTATTGTATGTGATAGGATCTAGAAAAATAGATTCAGTTTGTCCAGAGGCACCATTTTAAACTTCATTTCATTGTTTCACCCAGGAGGAGTGAGAAATGAATAGCCTGTGATTCCTCTTCAGGTGGCTTAGCTGGACCCTGCCCCCCACCAGCTCGCTTGCGACCCTTCACGCATAAGTGAGGGCTAAGATTTTTCCAGCCACATACGCAGACCCAGACTGCTCCAAGCACAGAGTTAGTCCTCTGACTAACAGCTTGTGGAGCCATGTGTGTTGGGTTGTGTTTCTGCATCCGATGTTATATGCAAACGGCCTGGAGAGAGCATCCACTTCACCCTGGTGAAACAGGTTTTCTCTGGGATAAAGGTGTGTCTTGTGGCCTGTACGATTAGATCTACAGAGAAGTTCTGAAGCCGGAACTAGTTGTTTCTTGAGATCTGTGTGGAACCCTACCGCTAGAGTCGTCCAAGAGTTGCAGGGTATGAGAGCAGAACAGACAGAAGCTGCCCTCGATGCTTTTCTTGAATGCCTTGGAAGAACCCGAGCATCTGTGCACCAGTGTGCTAAGGCTGCCATAGCAAAGCTCCACAGGCTGGAGAGTTTGAACAACCGAAACAGATTTTTCTAATGTCTGTTTATTCCAGAAGCCAGAAGTCCAAGATTGAGGCAAGGCAGGACTGGTTTCTCCTGAGGCCTTGTTGGCCTCTGGTTTCCCAGCGCTGTGTGTCTGTCCTCTGAGGACACCATTCATGTTATTAGGCCCATCCTAATGACCTCATCTTAATGTTGTTGCTGCTTTAAAGACCCGGCTTTGGGTAGAGAGATGGCTTGGCGACTTCATTGCGCACTTAATGGCTTTCACAGAGGTTCCAAAATGGGTTTCCCAGCACCTGCGTCAGGCAACTCAAAACCACCTGTAACTCCAGTTCCTAAGGATCTTACACTCTCTGTTGGTTTCCACAGGCACCCGCATACATGTTGCACACATACACAGACACAGGTGTGTACACATAAATAAAAATTTTAAACCTTTTTAAAAATAAAAGACCCAGTCACCTATATGGTACTAGGAATTAGGACTTTAATTGATGAGTTTTAGGGAGCGCGGTCCAGCCAGTCAGAGTGAGAATGCTGAACTCTGTTGTTTATGAGTAAACAAGCTAACTACCCATCAGAAGAGAAGTAAGCTAGGCCCCTTGCTCCTTGGAATACTGTCCAGCTGTCATGATGTAGTGACCTGGGTGGAATATTTGATATATTGTAATGCCATATGTACACCAGAAAAGAACAACAAAAAAGGTTCCACAAATGATACAATATAAACAATTCTAAAAGAGGTATGGATTTTTTAAAAAATTATTTTTAATTATACGGGGTGGGGATGTATTTGTTTGTGAATACAGGTGCTCATGGACGCGCGCGCGCGCGCACACACACACACACACACACACACACACACACACACACTCTATCTCTCTCTAAAGGAAACTACACCATATGTTAACTAAGGTTATGCCAGGTAGAGAGTTTTGTTTTGTTTTTTCCTTTTTACAAATACTCTCTATTTAAGCAACTATTACTTCGGTCATGGAAACCCCTCCCTCGCCCTGCACAGTCTGTGTTTGTAATGTTCTCTGTGTCTCCTGAGAAGTCCTAAAGCAGCCTCTGTTCTCTGTTTCAGGTGGAGGATGCGATGCTGATGTTTGACAAAACTACCAACAGGCACAGAGGTAAGATGGCCCTGGCCCTTCACTCTCTCCTGGCCTCCAGCGCGACTCACCTCCTAGCCCACTGACAAAAGACGCAAGGAAGACACAGACTCCAGCAAATGGACATAACCATCTGTCAAAGGGCTGTATATTAATAATAGCGGGCCACCATAGCACAAGGAATCCAGATACCTGACAGTGCAAACCACCTTGACTAGGAAACTCCCACTGAATTGAGCAGCCATGACTGGCACATTCATTCAGCTTACCTTTCTCACTCTGGCTCTCTTAACCCCTTGCCAACCTCAGCACTCAGTGATCCTGGTAGAAATTATTCGTAGTCATTACTCAGTCGGACTGTCAATTTGCGTCGAAGGAGGTAGCTTAGAAAGCAGACTATCAACCTACAGAGTGAGCTAGAGGAGGAGGGGAAACCTTGTCTTGATTCTCTTCGCTGATTACAGCGATTGCAGATTTGAAAATGTCCCGTGGAGCCTCGCAGTGCTTAGGGGACATCTATATATATTTATTTGTTCCTCCTGGCCAGTCTATGTTATAGAAAATGGGTCTCACTCAACCTGGAGTCCCCAAATCTTTGAAATGATTTGCACAGTGTCTGAGCTTTGCTTAGGAGTGGATTCCTAGTGTTGAACAGAAATGTCCAAGAGGACTCTCACCAACACCTGCCAAAAGAATGTGTTAAAATTGTTGATTTAAATGGGAAAATGAGGGGAATCTAGATCATCTGAGGTAAAAGTCAGAGGACGTTGTGACTTAGTGCTCTGTGCTCTTGTGCTCCGGAAGTGCCATGTTTCTGGGGTTCCTATTAGCAGGGTGTTAATGAGCCACGCGTCTGAAGAGGGGTGGGCGGGAAAGGATGTGGGGTGCTCTCCAGGGAAGGAGCCCTGAGTCAACCCAGAGAGCTGTTTCCTTACCACGTCTATTGCATTTAGATGTTTCTCCGTTGTTTACATTCCTGCTGTCACCTGTGATTAGAAGCAGTTACCCAGCACTGACTGAATCTCTTTCCTGTCTGGAGCAAACAGCAGAATGAAAGAGAGGAAGGAATGAAGGGGGGCCAGGGAGAGACTTGCACATCCTGCCCTAATATGCCCAGTAACCCAGCTTTCAGTGGCATTCTCAAGAATGGAGAGTTGAGCACTGGGTGGATAGGGCAGGGTAGAGGAGAGAGATGAGGAGACAGAACTGAAGAGGTGGGGCGGAGGAAGGTTGCCCGTGATGTATGATTGGTGATTCTTTTCTTTTTGGTTTTTTGAGACAGGGTTTCTCTGTGTAGCTTTAGTGCCTGTCCTGGAACTCACTCTGTAGACCAGACTGGCCTCGAACTCACAGAGATCCGCCTGGCTCTGCCTCCCGAGTGCTGGGATTAAAGGCGTGCGCAACCATCGCCCGGCTTGGTGATTATTTTCTGACATCATCAGCATTGTCTCTGTGGTATTACAGATGCCTGAGTACCACTCTGGGCATGGTGGCCACAGGCTTGTCGTCTCCTTTACTCAGAATGCTGAGATGGAAGAGTCAGCCTGGGCAACATAGATTGATTCTGTCTGCAAAAAGTAAATGTAGAGGGTCTGGGGAGACAACACAGTGGTTAAGAGAACTGGTACTGTGTCAGAGGACAGCAGTTCAGCTCCCAACACCTACCTCCCGTGACTCACTACCACCCATAACCCCAGTTCAAGGAGAGGCAAGGCTTATAGCCTCCATGGGCATCTGTATGTACATGCGTGTATACGACACACAGTCACACAAACAGATGCCGCCTAATTTTTTTAAATGTGGAGCCAAAGCAACATTTCTTTGTGTCTCTCATAATTTGATCTCCACAGGCATCTTGGGAGTCACAGAGTTGTTGGGACTGTGGGAGAAATTACTGCATGTTTATGTCTCCTCCATTTGTCCATTATGAAGTCAGAGTGGAAACAGTGACGTCTTAGGGTTTTTAGTCCTGTGATAAAACACGTCCAAAAGCAACGTGGAGAGGAAAGAGTTCATTTCAATTTCTACTTCCACATCAGTCTGTCATCCAAGGAACTCAGGGCAGGAACCGAAGCAAAGACCAGGGAGGAATGCTGATGGCTGGTCTCTTTCTCCTGGCTTGCTTAGTCTGCTTTTTTAGTCCAGCTGCGTGGGGTGGTACTGCCAGCAGTTAGCTAGGTGCTCCTGCACCAGTCATTAATCAAGGAAATGCCTCCATAGACTCACCTACAGGCAACCTGATGGAGACATTTTCCCAAATGGGGTTTATCTCCTTAGATGACTCAAACTTATGTCAAGTTGACAAAAAACCCAACCAGGGCAAGTATTTACTCTAATAGTGTAGTTTGGCAAGTGTAAGGCCAAGCGTAAGTGTGAGTAAGTGTTAGCTTTTACGATTAGTATCTTTACCATTTTGTGGCTGAGATACCAAGGTTCAGGAGAGGGAGATTCCGAGTCCCCCACGAAGCTTCCAGCCCGAGGCTACTGATTCCAGACTCTTTCTCTGTGTGCCCAGATGGGAACAGGTTTTTCTAGGTGAGTGAGCCCATCTAAATGTGGTTCCCATCAGTCAGTATCAGAACTCACAATCTCAGAAAGTTGCTGGGCCACATCATGATGACTGTTTCCTTTTCTTATTTATGTCAGGGTCTGGGATCAAATCCAGGACTTGGAGCACAATGAGTTATTTTCTAAGCTCCCTGTGTATGCATGTGTGTGTGTGTGTGTGTGTGTGTGTGTGTGTGTGTGTGTGTGTGTGTGTGTGTGCTCCTGTGCGTGTGTGCACCCACATGTGTAAGACATGGGGAGAAGCTAGAGGTTGATGCCGGAGTCGCACTCGGTTTTAGTAACTGAGGCAGGGTCTCTCACTGAGTCAGTTAGTTATCTAGCCAGCTTGCCTTGGGGATCTCCTGTCTTCTCCTCCCCAGCAAGCTCAAAGACAGACCACCACATCCACCTGGCTTTTATGTGGGTGATGGGAACCCAAACTCCAGCCTTCACACTTGGACAATGAGTGTTTTACCCACCGAACTGTCTCCTCAGGCCATGGCTTTCTTTTTTGAGTACAGGTGGAAGAAAGTGTTTCAGGCACACTCAGTGGCATGCCCTGGACCTTCTACATCGTCACCTCTTCAACACTCACAGCAGAGCAGGGACAGGTTTGTCCTCCACAGGCTCTGAGAGGGCCAACAACTTGTGTCATATGACTGGGCACTGGTAGAGGTCAGCCTCAGAGGATGTGCCTGGGAACATCTCCCTTGCTTGTAAGGACCAGGGTGCACTACACTCATCTTTCAGAGGAGAGAAAGACCAGACAGCCTAGGGTGCAGAGATGGAGCTGTGTTCCTTCTGTGAGTGGGAGTGTAAGCATTGGTGAGAGATGGAGGAAGAAGGTCTCAGGGGCTTCAGGACATCTTTGCTGGCCCTACTGAGTCCAGACATGGTGGGCACTGGGAGCAGGAGAGAGGGCAGAGCCTCGTGGTTTAACATCCACCTCCCTTGCCAGAAGTTAAAACCCCTGTAGCAGATGCAGGACCGACTCTTATGATTTGTAGTCTCTGAATGGGAAGCGAGCTGATGATGAATCTCAAGGCAACGGCAGAGCATTGAAATAGGTGGGAGCCTTTGAACGGGACCCACCCAAGAGTGCCCAGGCTGCACAGCCATGAAGCTGGCCTGGAGGTGTAGCACGATGGTGGTGTCTGCTGCTTCGTCCTCCGCAGTCTATGTACTTTCTGTGCAGATAGGAACTTTTGCCCGTACATGTTTTCCAGCCTCAGAACAACCCAGAAGTCTCTCTTGGGCTGAGTGCTAGGCCTGGGGTAGTCCCTGCATTCAGAGCGTTTAGGGAAGTGAGAAAAACTTTTAAATCCGAGCAGAAACACGAGTCCTGTCTGCCAGTACCATTCCCACACCCCAGGCATGGTGGAGCATGCCTTGAAATCAGGTGATAAGCCCCGGAAGGCAACGCTGGTGCTGTCACCTCACCTTCGCCTTCTCAGCTTCCTGCCTCCCTTATCTTGTGGAGGGGAAAGGGCGACCGTAGCAGAAGGCGAGGCTCCTCTCTCCTCGCACTGCCTGCAGCTCTTCGCTGAAAGAGCCCGGCCTGGCCGTGAGCCCCAGGTGTTACAGCATGGTTGGATACCTCAAGCCCCTCACCCCTTGGATAGATAGCCCGGGCTCCTGGGCTGGGCTCACTCCGGCCGTTCTCCCCATTCAGAGGCAAAGGGGAAGTTAGTTGCCACTCTGCCCTCTGGCTGCCACCATCTCTCCCTTGCTCCCTGAGGTCCCTGTGGAGAAGAGACAATCCTGAGGCATGTCTGAGTGGCAGCTGACTTCTGTCCACTAAAGGACCAGCCTGGTGGCAGTAGTGCCGTGGGAGAGAATCCAGGGGATGAGAGTTCAGACTCTGCCTCCCAGTGGAGCTCTGTATTGTGGGGTGCTCTCATCTTACCCCTAGATAAAGCTGATCGTCCTCTAGCTTCAGGAACCACCCCCGTCCCGCCAAGGTGGCAGAGGTGCCTGGGGGTTCTCTTTCCACCCACCAAGCATCTGACCCTCGCAGTTTCTTTCTCTAAGAATATGGGAAGGGAGTTGAGGAGCCGCAGGACCCAAGTGTATCCGGCCTTTCGCTTTGTAACCATCGCGTGTCCAAGGTGAATTCCTTTTTAAAAAACAGCTAGGGCGGGAGGATGTGAATAGTTTCTGTGTAGGTGGGAGTTCTGGGAAGCAATTCTGCAAGGGGTAGCCTGCAAGAGGCTTATTCGGAAGAGTCCTTGACTGGGGGTGGCCAGATGGGGAATCTGGCCTATGACAACATCAGAAATGAGGAGGCCCATCCCTGTCCCAGGGAGGATAAGGGGTCATCTCTGTAATCACAGGAGCCATCCATGGGTATATTCCATCTAGGAAGCTTGTGTGATCTGGGCTGTGTTCTGGTGAGGAAATTTGAGAGGGGTATACCGTAGGACATCTTGGGGGTACTCCCTTGACTGGGGGTGGCTAGATGGGGAATCTGGCCT